AATTGTCATCCAAGAATTTGGAGTAATCCTGAAATAAGTAATTAGATTTATTTACATTTATTTCAACCTATATTAAATATAAAGTCATCAAATACTAATATATAAATTATCGGCATGCCATTAGAGAGAATGTGCACCAGAGGTAAAGTGTACTGCTTCATCAGTCATTGTTGTTATATAGAGACAGAGAGAATCTGCCCAAGAGGTAAAGTCTACTGCTTTATCAGTAATTGTTATTATGTGTGGGTGTGTGATTTGGAGTTTTAACATAGCTATAACAATTTTCAGTCATATCACCATGGGGTCTCCAGTGTGGCAGTTTATAGTGATGTCTGGTGCTGGGGCATCATGCCGCAGACATGTAGCATCATGCCCTCTTCCCAATCACGTTATCCTGACACCAGGCCAGTACCATTTTTATAAGCATATGGTATAACCCAGCTGGGATTTGAACTCACAACCTCCTGCATTCAAGTTGGATGCTGTAATGACATGGTTTATTGTTATTAAACAGTCACAGGTAGATATAATGTGCCCTAGAGGTAAAGTCTACTGCTTTATCAGTTACTCAGACAATTATTTGTAATGTATATTTTTTGTAAATGCAGCAAAAAGAAACTTTTACTGTATTCAGTGTTCAGACATTTTATGCATAAGTTCATGATATCCAGTCTCTTGGAGAAAAATGAAATTATAGTCCCTCTTCTAGCAACTGGAGTTTTATTGCAGAAAAGAAGAAAAATCAATATTTTTTCATGCAAGCCTAAGGTGATAAGGTAAAAAAATATTCACAATCATGAAATCTGATTATAAATTAGTTTTAAGGCAGTTTTATGTAGTGCTGTAAAGTTACTGGGCAGATGTCAGAAGTAACCAGATCCCATTACTTGATCTTAAGGATCATTATAGGTAAAAAAAAGAAGAAATAAATGGGTTAAAAGACATGAACATAAAACCTTGATTGTAACATTGAGTTCATCCTGTAATGTGACCCATTCATGTTTAGCAAATGTTATCTCAAATAATGAAAATGATGCAAGAGTGTGGCCTGGTCAGAATAGTGCATATGATGCAAAAAAGTGTGGCCTGGACTGTATAGTGCAAACAAAGAAAGAGTGTGGTCTGGCCAGAATATTGCATATGATACAAGAGTGTGTCCTGGCCCAAACAGGGCATATGATGCAAGAGTAAGGCCTGGCCTCAATAGCGAAAATGATGAAAGAGTGTGGCCTGGTTTGAAAATTGCATATGATACAAGTGTGGTCTGGCCTGAATAGTGCATATGATGCAAGAGTATGGCCTGGCCTGAATAATGCAAATGATGCAAGAGTATGGCCTGGCCTGAATAATGCAAATGATGCAAGAGTGTGGCCTGGCCTGAATAGTGCATATGATGCAAGAGTGTGGCCTGGCCTGAATAATGCAAATGATGCAAGAGTATGGCCTGGCCTGAATAATGCAAATGATGCAAGAGTGTGGCCTGGTCTGAAAAGTGCATATGATGCAAGAGTGTGGCCTGGCCTGAATAATGCAAATGATGCAAGAGTATGGCCTGGCCTGAATAATGCAAATGATGCAAGAGTGTGGCCTGGCCTGAATAGTGCATATGATGCAAGAGTGTGGCCTGGCCTGAATAATGCAAATGATGCAAGAGTGTGGCCTGGCCTGAATAATGCAAATGATGCAAGAGTGTGGCTTGGTCTGAAAAGTGGATATGATGCAAGAGTGTGGCCTGGCCTGAATAATGCAAATGATGCAAGAGTATGGCCTGGCCTGAATAGTGCATATGATGCAAGAGTGTGGCCTGGCCTGAATAATGCAAATGATGCAAGAGTCTGGCCTGGCCTGAATAATGCAAATGATGCAAGAATGTGGCCTGGCCTGAATAGTGCATATGATGCAAAGAGTGTGGCTTGGTCTGAAGAGTACATATAATGGAAGAGTGTGGCCTGGCCTGAATACTGCATCATTTATGATCTATCCCCAATTTTACCAACCTAAGTCTTGAATATAACTATAAATGTAAGAAATTTGATTGATCTGCATTAAAATTGTAAATAATAAGATCATTTGAGTCTAGACTCAAGTTTAAATCCAGACTTATAATCTCTGGTGGAAATCAAATCCTGGATAAATAAGATAGAAAAGATTAAACTAAACCAGAATTCCATCTTTGAAACAAAAAAATTATTGTGCTACCACATTTTGACCTAACCTGAAGTTTTAGCCTAATGAGCTGGTCTATGAAGATAAAGACTGCCCTAGGGTTAGATGTAAGTTGGGTATGTGCATTTGTGCATTTACCCACATGGTTCTTGAATAGAGAACTTTGTTGTTTCCAAGCTGTGACATGATCCTAGACTATTTCCAAGCTATGACATTGGGGACATGTCCTTGTGTGGTAAGGATAGATCCCAAGACCATTGTTAGCTGCAGGTATAAATTTGTATTTCCCTTTACTTTATGTTTTGTGGCTATAGTATAGAAAGTTAAACCAGTTAACAGCTATAAACTAGGGGCTACATACCTAAGCTGTTGAGGTATTTGGAAATATCCTAAGGCATGGCCTAGGAGTGCCAGTCTGATATGTGTTGACACTATTAATGTGACAATTAATCTACATAATAGGGGCATGGAGTGGCCATGTGGTCTAAAGCCCTCACCATTCCAGTACATAAATAGGGACTTAACAAACAAAAATAATTCCTGTCTTATATCAGTATCAGAATCCAATGATCATAATTTAGGATTGTGATGCAATTTGTGAGGAATAATTTATTTAAAACATTCACGGAAATTTTTAAAGTGCTGATTGACTTTAGATTAATACATAACTTTGGATTTTTGTGAACTCATTCAAAGACATTCTGGATTGCATCATTGTAGTATATCAGGACATTCAAGACTTGGAATTTTCATTCATAATATTCAAAGATCTTTAACATAAAACAGGTTAATTTTAATTATCTGAAATATGATTTACAAAAAAAACTGTAAGTGTCTTTTGATTTTTCACTTTGTATTCTGGAGAAATAAATAACTTGCTGAATTACTTCAATTCTTGGCTACACTTCTTTTTGTTACACATTTTAAGATCTGGAGTCGTAACAATGTTAACATTTATAAAAGTAAACGATTTCAAGATGGATTCTGTCATCTAATGAGAAGGCGTCAAATATCAGTTTAGTCAGTTGAAAATCTGAAATATAAGTTTTCTGTACAAGTTGATCACAATGTGTTACAGGAGGCCTTTAATGGCACCAAATTAATAAATTACTTGAACAAAAACTCTTCATATCATCTCTTCCTTTATTGTAGAGAAATCGCTATCGATAATTCTGCATGACATCACTTGCACAGTTTCAAATTAGATAAAACTATACTTCTCAAATGAACGAATTTGGATACCTGTCGAAAATAGATGACAATAATAATAAACTTTAGACATTTAAATTTTATTCGCTTTGCATATAAATTTTAATTTTATTAGATGAAGGGAGATGAAAAATACATAAAGTTACCATATTTTATTTTTATTCCTTAATATGTCTTAATTTTAAGAAAAACTTTGTAAAACTTGAAGATTTACGACCACGTCAGAATACAAGCCGCCATGATCTTAATCCTTGTTCCCAGATGCTTGTATAATAAAAGTAAGGAAAGAGACGAATGATCCGATTGCAAACTTTCGTGACTCAAAAGCTTTCTCCGATAAAGGTGGTGCTCATATTGGGTCTTTATATTTTGTAAATTAACGATATTGATGATAAAGCTAAATTCATAATAAATGCATATAAAATAATTAACATATTAAGTTTACCCATATGTGTCTGACAAGATTAGGTTAATGTTTTTGTCTTAAGAGTAACTGCACCAATAAATAAATAACGGTTGTACCTTCTATCTTTTTTTTTTTCCATTAAAGTGTTTAAGGGGTAGGCCAGCACGTTTTCTCCCCTTTTATACTTAGACGTAAAATAAAGACCATAATTTCTCATACAAAAATATGTTATTCAAAGACATGCTATAAATAATTTCGTGAAATGTAAAAAAAAATAAACAAAATAAACCAAAACAAACAAAATATGTTCTTCTCAAACAAGCATAACAAAGAAAAGCAGAATGACAGAGAGTAATTGTTCCATAAATAAGAACATCAGAGAATTAAGAAAAAGGGTAACAGACTTTCAAGAAGACTGTTGTATCTGAGGACCCATCTCTCTCTCTCTCTCTCTCTCTCTCTCTCTCTCTCTCTCTCTCTCTCTCTCTCTCTCTCTCTCTATATATATATATATATATATATATATATATATATATATATATATATATATATATATATATATATATATATATATATATATAATGCAGGGCTGACCTTAGGCCGATTGGACAGACTTGGCCCATTTGGGTTCCGCGCTCAGTCATTTTGAAGAAAAAAATACATCTATAAGACTTGTCTAAAAGATTTTTTCCAAATACCGTACCAGCAAGGAAGGGGGGGGGGTCTTACATCCAGGAGGCCCCACCCAAAATGATCCAAATTGGAATCCGCGTTTGTTAAGGCAGTCCCTGTTTATGTAAATTATATAACTGGTTGCAAAGAAAGTTAAAAGTGCAACCAATAAAGCTTGTAAACAATTTGAAAAAGTCTTGATCAAATAGACAAAAACAAATAAAAAAAAATATGGCGGTATTTAAAACCTAAATAGATAACGCCGTATTCAAGGCAAAAAGCAAATCCTAAACCATTATGGCAGTATATAGTCTAAACAGATAACAATATGTGCAAGGCAACATGCTAATCCAAAACCAATAAGAAGACGGATTACGACATGTGCACTGGCAGAATCATTATCAGCGTCTTTTCTACGTACTGAGTCAATACTTTTATAATTAATTTTCAGATGACTAGACACGAGCGATGATCAGTGCCATGTTCAAAAATAAATTATTTTAAAACTTAAAAAGAAGCAAAATATCGGATAATAGTTGTGATAACCGTTCCGGTGGCCTAGTTGTTAGAACGTCCGCTTCGGATGCGGAAGTTTGTGGGTTCAATCCCCGGTCGAGTCATACCAAAGACTTACAAAAATGGTACTAAGCGCTGCCTCGTTTGACGCTCAGCATTAAGAGGTTAGTGTTAGGACTGGTCGGTCTGGTGTCAGGATAATGTGACTGGGTGGGACATCATACTACATGTCTGCGGCATGATGCCCCATTGCTAGACATCACTATAAACTTCCACACTGCAGACATCGTAGCAATATATCTGAAAAATTGTTAAAGCTACGTTAAAAATTATAAACATCACACCACACCGCAACTACAGAATCCTCAGAAAACCCAACTGAACACTTTTTAAAAAAAAAAATGAATACAATCAGCATTTTTATTTTATAAAACAAGTTCGTGATGTACTGGTTGATGATGCACGATGCAAACCAATTTCATTATGACGTAGCACCGAACTTAAAAAGACAAGACAAACTTGTATTGTTTTTATTCGGATTAAGTTGCTACCAGTGGAAGTTCCTCTGGTAGCAATCTAAGAACAAATAATACCAAGAACGAATACATACGAATAGATCTCAGCACATATTCGTAAATAATTAAAAAACAAATAAAAAAGGGAGGGGTATAATAACTTATCCGACAATGACAAAGTGCTCCGCTTTTTATTTATTTATTTATTTATTTTTCATTCTTCAGGTAAGGCAAATTTATCCACTGCCACAAAATATGCGTCAGCCTATTAGACTGTTATCGTCCTTCTCAGCTAGACGTACATAGTTGTTATTGACGCACCCTAAAGGGCTTTAAAATGTATCGTGGTATTTTTGGGTTGTGTGAATGAATATGGCAAAAAGGCCAAAGCTGATAGTCTTTGATCTAGGTAAAAACTCAGACCTTTTCCACGTTAGATACTTGTACGATTATACTGGGGTCGAAAAATGGGGACAAATAAGAGATAGCCGAGAACCAACCAGTCAGTCAATGAAAGATGTTGTTCTCCCACCCCACCCCCGAATCTAGTCCTACAATGTAAGACGTACCACATGCTGTTTTTGTTTTGGTGAAAAATATCTGGGTGATAAGGATTATGTTGTAGGATTACCCCGAATCATGCTTATCAGGTTCGACAATTTTTTATTGTAAAATAGGGTACCACCCAAACATAACTGTCCAAATACCTAGCACCTGATGGGAAAGGTAATAGAAAACTCTGAACTGGCTAAGAAAATTAAATACAGGATATATTTGTATGGGAATGTTATTTAAAACCAATAAAATCCTTATCTTTTCATTGTTCGTGTTTGAGTTTGAAACTTGTGTCTTGTTAAAAATTAAATGGAAGAGAATAATAATAATAATAATAATAATAATAATAATAATAATAATAATAATAATAATGTATGTGTGGTTTGGATTTTTAACATAGCTTTTACAATTTTCATTCATATGGCTATGATGTCTGCGGTGTGGCAGTTTATAGTGATGTCTAGCACTGGGGTATCATGCTGCAGACATATAACATCACGTCCTACCCAGTCACATTATCCTGATGCCAGCCTGACCAGTCTTGACACAATCCTCTTAATGCTGAGTGCCAAGTGAGGCAGCTGATAGTGCCATTTTTATAAGTCATTGGTATGGCTGGAGCTTCAACCTGTGACCTCCTGAATCTGAGTTATATGCTCAAACCACCAGGCCACCAAAGCAGTAATAATAATATTGTTATTGTTATTATTATTTTTGTAGGACCATTTTAAAAAGTAAATATTTTGAAGTGAGGCTTACAAATTTGGTATTCATCTTTTATGCGGTTGTTTGAATTTTCAAGACCCTATTTTGCAGTATTTAATTTAATGTGTGTTTTAATAATGTTCAAAAGGTAACACTGAAGATCTTTTGTTAAAAAAGTTAAGCAATCCTGATCCAGGTTTAGAATCCCAAGTTATAATTATTAAATGCCCACATTCTGGTTTTACATTATTTATTGAGTCGTGCATTAATGAGTCGTGCAACATTGAGTTTACACCTATTAATTACTACTCCTTTATTGTGGTCATGTGACAGTTTCCTTTTAAATTGCTCAGTCCCCAAGGTGGTGCTCTACAGTTTTATATAAGCACAGAGTTAGAATTTTAAAGAAAAAGAATTTCCCTGGATTTCCTCACTAGTTATACTGGCTATTTAAGAAAGATTTTGTATATCTTAGGTATTGTTCAAAGAACCTTTAATTCCATTTATTTTGGTGCATGATTGATGAGTGTAATATGGGCTATAAATTATACAGCACCTTTCAAAAAAGTACTAGCTCCACTTGCTCATTTTCACTTCTCAAACTTCAGAGGTAAATTGTAAAAAAAAGAGCTGATAACTTTTTTTTGGCGTTTTATGTATTGGTAATTTATTCATTGTACTTTTAGAAGCTGGTTTTGTCTAGTTTGGCAAAATTCATTTTCCCTATTTTAATAGCTGGCAAGGAAAGTGTACTTTAGACAAATTAAGGTTGATTTTTGGATCACAGAGGAGCAGTCATTTTAGTTAGCAGTGTGCTAAAATCATTTAATAAAAATTCCAAAAAATATAATATCCAAAGAAATTTCAGCCACATTATATGAAAGTAGCATAGAGGTATGCCAACATTCTCTCCACTGTGCATGTTTTAAATGCAAACAACTTCACCTTACATATATCACTTTCTCAAAAGTACATAATAATTGGTGAGTGCCACCTGAACTGCTCCAGTACCAGTCAGGGTTGCATTTATTAGTGAGCATTGAGGAAATAAACATGGTATGGAAGTTGGAGATTAATCATTACTATTTCGTATAAAGTAGTTTTTGGCTATTACATAAATGTGACAGAAGAAAACAGATCAGGAGATGTCCAAAATACGGTTCAGTTTTCATCTTCTTAATTTTTAGCATGCATATGGAATAGACTTGCAACTATTTAACAGATTTCGAGTGACATGTTTAAATATTAATATATGTAAATGCATTCTTTTAAAATAGCTTGTTTTCATTCATAATTTTGTATATACAACAAGAATTTTTATTATTTAGGGGCCTTGAGTGGCCGAGTGGTCTGAAGCAATCATGGTTACGGATCACTGATATCTCACCTGTCTGCATGGGTTTGAGTCTCGGGTTCGGTTAATGTGGGTCTATAAGTAGCTTCTTGTAGGTTGGTGGTTCCTTCCAGTTTTCCCTGGGTTCTTTGTCCGCCCTTGATGTATAGCCTATCGTGTGCTGAAAATGCAGTTAAACCCTACAACATCATTTCTTATGAGATGAGTATGAATTATATTGATGGCAGTCCTCATCATTGTTTATCTTTACACTTAAAAAATGATGTACTGCTATTTAATCCAGGTTTCTTCTGTCCTTATAGTGTCTGCTCTGAAATGTGCCATTATATCAGTGTAACTCTACTGAGCCCAACAAGAAGTTTAAATTGTTTCCTGCCTTGTAGATTTAGGTTGCTGACTGTAAGCCAAAACTGCTGAAAATTGGTGTGTGTCAGATTTGGGAAGTTCTTTGTGAGTCAGAATGTAGTCCTGAATTACATCTTGTAGTAAAATTCTCTAAATCTAGTTTAATGCTCATGAACCTCTCAGACAGCTTCACCATGGCAATACAAAATGTAAAACAGTAGGACTTTTTGAAATTTACTTGCCACAGATAGATAGTAGGTAAATTAAAACATGATAACCTAAGGCAACTTTGTTTATTTCTAATAATGTTTTCTATGCTGCTGTGAAGATAGCAAGAAAGAGTACATATCCATGTGTTCTTATTGTTAGAACAACTTGTTTCCAATTTTCACAAAAAAACAAATGGTCATTGAACACACCTGCTGGAGTTGATGAAATTGGCCCAAAGGAGGGTTCTGTCCTGGAAATATTACAAAATCTGTTGCATTGGTTTCATAACATTTAAATCCAAAAATTATTCTTCTATCAATATAATTCATTTGGAATTTTACTGAAACAGTTATAATTAAAAAAATTTAAAAAATATAAAACCACTAAAGTGAAATTTTTCTTTAAACCTACTTATTATTGCTTTTAATTTCCAATTAGCAGTGGAGACCTATACTATAATTTAATTGTTCACCCATCAGTAATTGATATTATCAATATTAATCCTAGGATTCAAGACAACATATATTATTGGATTAGGGAGTATTTATTGCTATCCAAAGCATCTAATGTTGTTTTAATGTCAGTAAAATTTTCCATATGAAGCACTGATAGTATACCATCATGCCCATTGTGATTTTAAGCCTAATTTGTAGACATCTTTGCTATCATCATTATCATCACTATAACCATCCTGTAACAATAATAATGAAATCCAGAAGATGATTAGGTATCACATATTAGTATTATAGATGAATACACAGACCCCATACATCCAAGTAATATAAATGAATACATAGACCCCATACATCCAAGTAATATAAATGAATACACAAACCCCATACATCCAAGTAATATAAATGAATACATAGACCCCATACATCCAAGTATTATAAATGAATACATAGACCCCATACATCCAAGTAATATAAATGAATACATAGACCCCATACATCCAAGTAATATAAATGAATACACAAACCCCATACATCCAAGTAATATAAATGAATACACAAACCCCATACATCCAAGTAATATAAATGAATACATAGACCCCATACATCCAAGTAATATAAATGAATACATAGACCCCATACATCCAAGTAATATATATAAATGAATACATAGACCCCATACATCCAAGTAATATAAATGAATACATAGACCCCATACATCCAAGTAATATAAATGAATACACAAACCCCATACATCCAAGTAATATAAATGAATACACAAACCCCATACATCCAAGTAATATAAATGAATACATAGACCCCATACATCCAAGTAATATAAATGAATACATAGACCCCATACATCCAAGTAATATAAATGAATACACAGACCCCATACATCCAAGTAATATAAATGAATACATAGACCCCATACATCCAAGTAATATAAATGAATACATAGACCCCAT